GCCGGGCTGAAAGACAAAAGAAAGAAATAGAAAGACTGTCTTCATAGAAAGAGTCTGGGGCATGAATCTCAGAGTTATGCTGAGACATGGTGTCAAAAGGGTCTAACCAACTTATCCATTTTTAACACGAAGGTGGGAGGGACAAAGTGCCTGTGGCTATGCAGATGTAAAATCTACAGCTGGAAGTGAAACTGGGGCTCCTTATGGCTTTCAAACTGCTCCCAGGATCACTGGGAGTGCAGTGCTTATCCAGCCCTGTGAGTGAGCAGCCCCAGCACAAGCAGATCCTCCCTGTCCACACTGCAGCCTCACAACCCTTCTCCAAGGGCACATCGCCGGGATATTTTGAGAACCTGCTGTGGGTTATTTCCTCTCCAATAGGGCTGTTTCTGCTCACACAGCCATTGCTAAACAGGACTGCCATCCCAGCCCAGAGTGTTCTCCCATCTCAGTTACTTCACATCAAGATGAGCTCATGAGAATTAATAATTGAGTACTACTAAAGATGATTTGGGGTCTGCAGCATCTCTCTTATGAAGAGAAATTGTGGGAGCTGAGCCTGTTTAGTCTGGGGAAAAGTGAGAGGAAATCTCATTAATTGATACAAATTTCTCAAAGGTGGGTGTCAAGAGGAAGGTGCCACACTCTTTTCAGTGGCGCCCAGTGACAGGAGGAGCAGTGGCCATAAACTAAAACACAGACAGGTCCACCTCAATATGAGGGAGAATTAATTTCTATTGAGGGCAGCAGAGCACTGGAAGAGCTGTCCAGGGAGGTCTTGGAGTTCTCCCTCTCTGGAGATGTTCACAACCCACATGGATGGCTCCTGTGTTCCCTGCTCCAGGCAACCCTGCCTGGCAGGGGGGTTAGACTGGATGATCTCTAGAGTCCCTTCCAACCACAACAATTCTGTGATTCTGTGAAAACAGTTTTAACAGAAAATAGAAAGATTTAATTTAGAGAGAAAGTTTAGTTGTGTCATTAGATTAGATCTAATGACACAAGCCTCCAAACAAACCAACACAAGTACAAAATGTGTCTTCAAAATAATGTTCTACTTTCCTAGGTTTCTCAATAGCTCCACTTATCCAATCTAGATTATTTCTCTATTGATTCCAGCTTAGTGAATCATTAGCTACTACACTGTAGTGATTTGTGCATATACCTTCTGCTACACACTGCAATCACAAAGCTGTGATTGCAGTGTGTAGCAGAAGGTATATGCACAAAAATGCTGCAGAGTTAAAAGGAACTCTTTACTTTTACAACCACAGGAATCACCAGAAAATTGAAAATTTAGAAGAATTCTTACATTAACACATAAGCATTAAAGCAATTGCTCCAGTGATATGATTTACTATTGACAGGCAGCAAAGTCAGGCCCATTGAAGCAGACAAACTGGAGGGTTCCATTCCAGCTTCATTGCCTGGAGATTGGCAGAAAAATGCAAGGCAAACACAGCTGCTCCCTCTGTAAGCACAGCCAGGGATGGCTGCTTTTGGGTGCCAGGGGGAATTTAATGCTTTTAATGCCTAATAACTATCTCCTTGCTGGGGATTCAGAAGCAGCTCTGAGGAACAGAGGAAACCTAGGGGTTAGTTCATATCTACCCCAGGGTCTATGGAAGTGTGGTAAGGACTATGCATCCATTGTGGAGAAATCATTAATAGAGTGGTTCTTTCCTCAGGACCTGTGACATTACCACATTAGTAACTGGCAAGGTTTTGCAGATGCAGTGGCCACCTCAGTCATGCTTGACGTGTGCAGAACTAATGTAGTTATACATATTTGTCTGTGTGACAATTTGCTGGGCCAAATTTCAGTGTCTGAACTAGCAGCCTGTGGCTAACAGCAGGCTGGTATGTGTGAAAATGTGCAAAGAATCAAGTATCGCCAGGTGAAAGATTTACAAAGGGATCTTGCAGAAGGCTGTGTCCCTGATTTCCTGGAGGGAGGCTGACGAGGTGGAAGTGAAATGGCATGTTACGACCTCAGTCTGAAACTAAATGTTGTCTTATTTCTAGTAGGTGTATGCTCATACTGAGGTAAAGATCACCTTGAAAGAAGTCTGAAACCATTTTGCAATGAATGGAAATTCCTCTCAGATAATTGTCAAGCATTTCTACAGCTTGCTGTCAAAAGTAGGTTCAGAGAAAACAATGCACTTTCCTGTCCCCCTATTTTATTTCATGTCAGTGGTGTTCTGTTGGGAGAAAGTGTTTTTCTGTCAGCAGCTGTAACATCACATTTTGACAACTCCAGGCAAACTTCCACCATGCCTCAGGTTTAACCTGAACAGCTTGCTTTCAGCATCTTGTAACACCTCAGATGACAGGGGTGGCTATAGTGCTGTGAGCAGCTGCACAGTGGAGTTACTCCATGGTCACCTTCTCAATTCCAGTTTAATTAAAAACATCAACCCCATGCCCGTGTGCCACTTCCACAGCCAGCAATGGCCTCGCTCAGCAGGGCCATCAGGAATGTGAAATAACCACCTCTAGCAGCAGAGATCTTCAACAGCCATCACACAGTCCATTAAAAAGCTGGAGCTGGGACAGATTCTCAGATTTTATACTGTCTAGCCAGAGTTTCAGGTAGAAGAAACCTCAGGCTGAGCAGGGTTATTGCTGCTGTTATCAACCATCTGTTCTGCTCTTGGGAAGCTCTTGCCATGCCTGGCTGCTCTGAAGGCTGCTCAGAGCATGTGGTGATCACTGGCATCTCAGCATCTGACAGAACAGGCGAGGCAGAAAACTGCAGGATAAATACTCACTTAGAGGACACCTAAACCCTAAGGGGAGCAAAACCATGTCAAGGTTTTAGAATTGGGATTAAGGCATTTTACAAGCATCAGGGACCCACCAGGGAGGTCTAATACTGCCTCAGTGGAGCAATGGAAGCACAAATACTGCCAAGGCAGCTTTTCCATGCAGTTAATGGTGATTGTGCCTATCTTTGGCAGGATGTCTTCTGGCCAGAAGTCCAGCCTTGTTGAAGGGTTTCAGAACACAAGTAAGGGTCACTTTTTTTTTTTTTCTTTTCTTTTCTTCTGGAATCAAATCAATAATGTGTTTTTTTTTTTTTTTTTTTTTTTTTCTTCTGGAACAAAATCAATAATGTGTTTTCTTGAAGTTTGATTGTCCAATCTAGTGCTGCTCCAGTCTGATCTTTCCCACCCTCCCTTTCTCCACAAGCCATCCCACTTTGCATCTTTTGCAGCTGCTTCTCTTCCAGTTCCCTTACAGGCACCCCTCTGCATCTGGAGTCCCAGCACCCCTCACCCAGACAGAACCACTGCCCCTCTCCAGCATGGCATGGGAAGCAGCACTAAATGAGGCTGAGAGAAAAATGCCAAGGCAGACACCCACATTTACAAATAGTCCCAACTCCAGCAACTCCTGCTCGGTTGCTGGTGCTGTCCAGCAGCCTAGCAGAGCTGAAAACAACCTGGCATAGTTTGAGGGTCTGACCCTAAAAATACTCCTCCAGGTCCCCCAAGGGAAAGCTTTCTCCCCCAAATATGGTTCTCACTAATTACGGAAATAGCATTTTAAGCATAAACAAGACATGACACCTTTCTGAGAAAACAGTTCATTATTTATTAATTATGAGGTGGGAAGGATATTTTTCCATATCGTGACTGCCATGGATTTCAGGCTTTGAAAGTGCTCCATGCAGTGTTATCACTGTTAGAACAGGAGGTGTCTGTGACCTCATCTTTCACCTCCCAAGTCCCCAGCCTCCACTGTTTGCTGGAGATGATCAGGTGAGTTTGCTCACAGGGTACTGCTGCCTGCTCTGAGCTCTGAGGTGTATGGGGTTGCAAGTAGGAGTGCACAGCTCTCAAAGATGCTGACAAGCCAAACTTAATTCCTCAGGAACTCTAAAAAATATAGAAGAATGGGGGTTTGAATTGGGTTTGACCCTCAAATTTCAGTGCTGGGAGGTTTCTTGTGATGTTAGGAGAGCTTTGTGCATGGTAGCTAATATTTCTCGATCAGGTACAGAAATGAAATCACCTCAAAGGGCAAAACATGACCATCACCACAGGATAGATTTGCCTGCCCTTACTTAAAAACCTTTCAATCCAGATGCTGCAGACAGTCATGGAGCAGCCAGTAACAATGCCTTTTAACAAAATGTATGTGAAGATAATTACCTGTTTGTGTAGAAATGTGCTTGATTCCCAGAACTGTTGAGCAAATTAGTAATGTAAAAACAACAGCAGCTTAATCTGGGTATTAAAATTGTAGCTGCAGAATAAAACACAAGAAACAAACTACTGTAGATGAAGGTAGCTAAGTAGCTCTGCAATACCTTAAGGCAAAAATGTTTGTCTATGGAATTTGAACTGTTTTCTGCTCTTCTGAGGGACCCTAAATGTAGATCCTAAACACAGAAACCTCAGCAGCACTAAACCCACAGTACTGTAGCTGTAAGTAAGATTTGTGTTTTCTGTTTTGAGCAGGGAAGGTAGAGCTTCTGCTTTGCTCTGAACACCTGATCATTTAGGGCCTGATTCAGTTTGTTGGTACCATTGTGGTGTTTTGTGTTGTGGTTGCATCCCCACTGTTTATCAGTACATGGGTTTTTTATCTTTATTGGTATCACTCAGCAGGGGAGAAAGGCCATACAGGGCTTCAAGCTGAAAAGGATCTGAAAAGCTGTGAAATTACAGTCAGGGTATAGATTGACTGTAGGGACCCTGAGAGTTGGAAAAAAGCCCCATGATACAACTTCATTTCTTCCAAAAGAAGAAAGGGAGCTAGAAGGGTGTGAGTGCTGTCTAGCTGGCTGATGGAGGCCCAGGAAAAGGGTTTGCTATAAAATGGGGCTTTGGGAGACCAGGGGAAAAAAAACCAAAAACAACTTGAGAAAGAAGCCCATGTCTTAGGCAGGTGGAGGAGGGTAGTTAAAGAGAAATTACTTGCAGACAAAGCTATTATCAAACAGATAAAAGACAATTTTAGGCAAGATGAGTTTGAATTTTTACATTTTAATAAGTTTTTGAAGTAATTATCACAGCAGTTGCTAATAAGTGTTTATTACACTTGTGGCAAAAGCTGAACAGTGACCAGGAAGAGCCTTGCTTGAGCTCTTCCTAACAGCAACTCTGTTCTAGTATATTTCTCCCTGCCTTTTTAAATTTGCCAAAAGTGATGGAATGAACAATATTGCTGGAAGAGAAACCAATACTGGCAGGAAGACTGCCACTACCAGCAGCCACAAAAGGAGCACTGGCCATAAAAGGAATACCAGCCACAATAAAACTGGCAGTTCCTATCCCAGCCATCACTACAGAAGAAACAGAATTAATATTTTGAAGTGCTGCCTTTGCCTGTAAAGAGAAAGTAAAACACACGTTAGAGACATTATAAGCACTTATATTTACAGACAGATATGATAACTGAGAACACCCAAAAATAATCAGGGTAATTGAATCCAGGTCAGATGTCCCCCATTATCAGAAGGGGTGACAGGCAGGTTTGTGCCCCCAGGAGGTGGCACTCAGTCAGAGGGCACTGTCAGGGTGCAGGCAGAGCACAGTGACCCTCCAGGGGCAGGGGCTCTGGGGAGGCAGCGCTGCTTTGGAGCCCACGCCTGGCGCTGGGCTGTCCCCATGCAGGCTGCAGGCTGTGTCCCAGTGCCCAGCTCACAGCCAGCAGCCAGGAGGGGCTCTGGGAGGCACCAGGGGCTCACCCCGGGACACTGACCTGCTCAGAGACTCCCTCTCCGTAGCGGAGCTCTGTCACAAAGTGCTCACAGTTGCTGCCAAACCCACGATAGTTCAACTCCCTGTCATTATCATTCTCAGCACGCTGAATGATCTCCTTCACTAGCAGAGGAGAGTATGAATGCATGGATTAGATTTATGTGAACCCACCTGTAAAGAGAGTGAGCTGAGACCCCACAGCCAGGCTCGGAGCTGCACGATGCTGCAGCTTCAGCCCAAGTTTTCATCTTCTGATGTGAACCAGATTCACATGGCTGAAATCCCTACAAAAGCCCCTCCATTTAGGGAGGGGCTGCACCTGTCCTGGCTGTGCCTCAGAACACATACATGGATATTTTTCTTGGCTTTTGGGAAAAGAACAGCCTTGACTGTACTCATTACCAACTGTAAAACCACCTAACTGGTATAGCTGTGAAAAAGGCTTTGATTCAATTTCCAGGAATCCAAGAAGGAGTTTCAGTTTCAGTTTCAGTTTGATTATGTCATGTTTTCCTGTATTAAAACTAAAAATAATTACGGATGTAATAACAAAGGGCAGCAGAAAAACAACAGGAATTCTTGATTTGATTATTGCAAACATCTAAAAACTTATGTTTAATAAAAACAATGAATTACTTATATTCCTTTGCTTGCATGCAAAAAAAGCAAATGTACCTTTTGATGTACCTACTAAACCATCTTTTTCTCAAGGCACAAAGTTTTCACTTTAACTTCTCTGATTCCCTCCCCGATGGGGCTGGCAGGGGAGTGAGTGAGCAAGTGGCTGCCTGGTGCTTTGCTGCTGGCTGGGGTTAAACCTGGACAAGAGAAGACAAAACCAGCCAGCCTCTCACACACAGCTGTGCTGCCCTCACCTGTCCCTGCAGGCCGGGCAGTTTCCTGTAAGAAAAGCAACCCAGGGTTCTGTGTCTCACAGGTGGGATGCAGGTAACCTGGTTCCAAACACTCAAGGCAGATCCTCCAGGCAAAGGACAATAATGCACACTTGGCCTGAACAGCTTTCTTGCAAGACAATGCACACATCAGCTTTGTGCCAAGGAAATGGTGTGGCTCAGCACATTGGGAGATGAAGCACAGGTGCTGCACAGCTCATTCTTCACATCCCTCACTTCCAGCACTGCAGGGACCCTGGCTTTGCCTTCCTGCTGGCTGGGGGAAGATTGACTTGGTACTTTAGAATGATTATGAATGCTTTGCAATCAACATCTGATCACTGAAGAGAGAATGGCCCCAGCTCCGAGGGTCGAAATCCCCTTGCCGCCTTTGTAATTCATTAAGCACCTCTGGCTTTTTTGCAGCTCAAATAGCAGAATCCAAGAAGGGGTTGAGAGTTGCAAGGAATCACAAAAATTACCTTGCAACCTTGTTCAGGTTCAAGGTCAACAATCACTGCAGAAACAGGGGTGAAGTGGGAAATTTCGATGGCACAGTGCAAGGAAGAGCCGATTGAGAAAAAGACAGCTGGGTTTCCCTGTCAGACCTCCCCACGTCGGGGGTCTGCTGCTGCCAAAGAGAACCAGAAGAGCCAGGGAAAAGAACACATTGTAGGCAGGTAACAACTGAGCAAAACACCATCACACCAAAATCAGAATGACCCTGTAAAACATGGAAGGATCCAGTCTGTATGACCTGCCCTTGCTTCCTGTCTCCTCAGCTCCCAGGAGCCGCTCAGTGTAGGCAGCACAAGCTGCCTAAGGTTTCAAGACACAGCACATGCCCTGCCTGTCCTTTTGCAGAGCTGGCAGCCAGGGCTTTCCCACTCTGATGGGTTTAGGCTTCTAGGTGAACTTTTCCCATTGTCATGGTGAAGATGCTGGGAGTGGGAGAGGATGGAGGAAGTGGTTGGAGGGTGAACGAGTCCTATAAGGGAATTGGCTGATATCCCAGGCACATCAAGAAATTACTTGGGGAGGGGAATGGGGGGTTTGGCAGTTTTGTAGCTGGTGGTGGTGATCTCCTTCCCTCGGGGGAATCAGAGCTGTTGCGCGGTGCCGCGGGCAGCGGTGCGCTCTGTGCCGGGACTTGGCTGCCCTGTGTGCCGGTCCCTGCCCTGTGTGCCGGTCCCTGCTCTCGGTGCCGGTCCCTGCTCTCTGTGCCGGTCCCTGCCCTGTGTGCCGGTCCCTGCTCTCTGTGCCGGTCCCTGCCCTGTGTGCCGGTCCCTGCTCTCGGTGCCGGTCCCTGCTCTCGGTGCCGGCCCCGCGCTCTGCCGGTGGCTGCTCTGTGGCTCGGCACCACACACTCCGAGTCTCAGCTGGAAAACGCAGTAAACCCTCAGCGGTCCTTTCTATTGCAGTGATACACAGAAATAGCCTCCAGGAGCTAGCTGATCAAATCAGGAGGAAAAGTCTGCACCAGTGCTCAGCAAAGCACTCCAGGGGAGGTGTGTGGGATGGGGAAGGAATGGATAACTTATTTGCAATTTCTCCCAGACTACAACAAAAAAAACCACGATCACACATATAAAAGCTCACGTGGCAAGCAGACTACAGCTGCTGGGGATCACCTTGAATGGTGACAATCTTGGTTTGTTATTCCTTACTGGGATTGCTGGGAGAAGCAAGGCCAAAATGTTAAACTGGCAAACAATGTTAAAGCGAAATACATAAACAAGAATTTCAGGGAAATAGGAGTTAAGATTTCAGAAATTTTCTCGTGCTTTATTTAGCATTTACACCAATTGTATCCTGTTGCCAGAAAGCCCTGAGGACAAGTGTAGCAAAACCGCTGGCAGGATCACCCCCTGCGATGCTCTGAGCTTTTCCTGACAACCAGTCAGTAGCACTATCTCCTGAGGAATGCATTTGCAACAACAGTGGCAACACCAGCAACAATACCTAGGGCTGCTGCTGTAACACCGTCATAAGCTGCATCTTGGACCTATAAAAGGGAGAGCAAAACACAGGCTGGAAACAAGAGGAGCATTTATATTTACAACCCATCCAGCATGATAATATTGAAAGCACAGGGATAATCATGGTAAATAAACCAGTGAAGGCATGTGCCCCATTATCAGAAGGGGTAACAGGCAGGTTTGTGCCCCCAGGAGGTGGCACTCAGTCAGAGGGCACTGTCAGGGTGCAGGCAGAGCACAGTGACCCTCCAGGGGCAGGGGCTCTGGGGAGGCAGCGCTGCTTTGGAGCCCACGCCTGGCGCTGGGCTGTCCCCATGCAGGCTGCAGGCTGTGTCCCAGTGCCCAGCTCACAGCCAGCAGCCAGGAGGGGCTCACCCCGGGACACTGACCTGCTCACAGAGTGCTTCACCGTAGCGGAGCTTTGTCACAAAATGCTCACAGTTCTTGTTAAACACATTATATGTCACCTCCTTGCCAATCCATTGCTCAGCACGCCGGATGATCTCCTCCACAGGGCGAGGAGTGCGGGAGCGGTCATACTTGTTGTTGACACGCCATTTACTATTTCCCACCACCTCCTTCAGGAGCTGCTTCTTCACCTTGGCTTTTCCGGCACATACTGACGAGCTGCTAGCCAACACAGATGAGGCTCCTTCATCTGGGGAAGCCAAGGAGGCGATAGTGCAGTCAGGCAGAGCCCCTCTGTACACTCCAAGACCTCAGATGAGTTACTGACTCCGCTCGGAAAGCGCAGCTACACACACAGGGGCCCGGAGAGGGAGACAGGGCTCCTGGGGCAACCCAACACCCACTCAGCACCTTGCCAGGCTGCACCAGCCTTACCTGTCACGTGGATGACATATTCATCCCCCACGTAGAGCGCCCAGTGATCATAAATGGTCCGAAATATATCGCCCGCTCGCATCCCCGAGCTCCGCTCACCTCAGCGCCTGTCCCGCTGCTGCCATGCCCGGGCTCAAAGTCTCCTCTACCGGCTATAAATAGGGAGCACGAAGCGCCTGGCTGTAACCTGCCGGGCTCACTGACGGCTTCGCCCCGGACCTATCCCGTCGGGACACACCTGCCACCTGCTCCAGGAAGGCTCTGCTCTCGAGGTTGTTGCCAAAACCACCGTTGGGTGAAAAATCTGGCCCTACCACCATGGAAATTGGGCCACCCGCTCTTTGCCAGATGCCCCTACCCTCAAGGGATGCTTCTGTTCCATGGCAGGCAACAACTCTGACACTGCTCCCATACATATGGCAGGATATCATTTTGTAAAAGTGCAACCTCTGGATCATGTTTATAGTCTGGCTTGTGTGCCACTCAACCTGTACCAAATCCAGTAGAGGATGTAAAGGGTCAGTGTAAATAGCCTTGTGTAAATGCAAAAAACTATGCAGCAGCAACTTGATGGATTAGATTTACATTACCCCACCTACAAAGTGAATGAAGAGGACCAGGTGAGGCCCCTGAGCCAGGCTCAGGGCTGCACTATGCTGCAGCTTCCTGTCTTATACTGAATCAGCCCAGGTTTTCATCCTCTGATGTGCACTAGATTCAGATGTTTAATGTCCTACAAATGCCATTCTTTTTAGGGACACACTGTGCCTGTGCTGGGTGTGCCCCACAGCACAGGCAATGAGAGTTCTCTCAGCTGTAGGGAAAAGAACAGCCTTGACTCTATTCCATGGCAACTTGAGCAGGTCTCAGGACTTGCCAGCATTTGCTGGAAAGGCTCAGAAGTGCAGAATGTAGCAAGTGATGGATTTTGCTACTCCTCCTCACACTCTCACCACATGGTTCCAGCAGTGTTCCACCAAATCCTGTCAATGCACCCACCAGGCTCCATGGAAAGGTATCCCACCATGAACAACATCACCCTGACTGCAAGGAGATGCCCAGTACAACTGCAAACTTCAGCTTTCTGTGAAATGTTGCAGCTTTCAAGAACGAGACAATACCCCAGATAAACTAATACCAGTTCTCTTGTATTCCAGGATGAAGCAGAGATGTGAGAGGCCCATATGATGCCCTCACACAGCGCTCACTTATCAGCGCTCCCTTATGCAGAGAGAATGCTCTGAGAGCAGAAAGGTTAAAGCTCATGGGTTACTGTATAACCACCTAAATAGTTTAGCCATGAAGGAAGTTTCAATTCCATTTCCAGGAATCCAGAAAGGAGTTTCACTTTCAGTTTGATTGTAATGTGTTTTCTGTGTTAAAACGAGGAACTTTCTTCCAATGTAATAACAAAGGACAGTACAAAATACAACTGGAAACTTTGGCTTGGTTATTTCAAACACTGAAAAACTGCTGTTTAAAAAAGCAATGAATTGATTCCTTGTTTTGCTTTGTTGCATGCAAAGCTTTTGGTTTACCTACTAAACCTACTTTTTCTCAAGCCACAAGTTTTTTACTCTTCTGATTCCCTCCCCGATGGGGCTGGCAGGGGAGTGAGTGAGCAAGTGGCTGCCTGGTGCTTTGCTGCTGGCTGGGGTTAAACCTGGACAACCTGTTCAGAGCAGACAAAACCAGCCAGCCTCTCACACACAGCTGTGCTGCCCTCACCTGTCCCTGCAGGCCGGGCAGTTTCCTGTAAGAAAAGCAACCCAGGGTTCTGTGTCTCACAGGTGGGATGCAGTTCCAAACACTTAAATCAGATCCTCCAGCTAAAGCACACTTGAACAGTTTTCTTGCAAGACAATGCACACATCAGCTTTGTGCCAAGGAAATGGTGTGGCTCAGGACATTTGTAAACACTTTGTAGGCAGGGAAAAACCAATTTAAACACCATCATGCCAGAGCACTCCTGTAAAACTATGAAGGGTACAGCTTATAAAACCTGACCTTCCCTCTGACTCCCAGGAGTTTCTCAGTTTAAGCAGCACAAGTACAGGCTCAAGACACTGCACACGCCCTGCCTGCTCCTGTGCAGACACTGCAGCCAGGGCTTTCCCACCTAAATAAAGCCTCAGCTGGAAAACTCTCAGCAGTACTTTTTTGACGTTTTTTGAAAGTTGAGGTTAAGATCACAGATATACAGAAAAAGCCTACAGGAACCAACTGATGAAAATGGTTGAAAAACTTGCACCCAGGCTTCTGTGCAATGTGCCCAGACAGTGCAAATGCGCCCAGACTACCACAAAAATCATCACAGGCAACGAAATAAAAGTAGTAACGGCAAGCAGGCTAATGCTGCTGGAGGTCACCTTAAATGGTGCCAAACTTGACTTTTTATTTCTTGATGAGATAGCAGGGAAAAGCAAGGCTGAATAGTTGAATTTGGATGCAAAGTTAGATAAAAGAAAATTTTTGGGAAATTAAAAGGATTTGGGAAATTAAAGGAAATTTGGATTTCTGACATTTTATTTAATTAAATACTCATAATTTATTCTTATATTATTTAATATTTACAGCAAGGGTGGCACAGTTGCTAGGAAGCCTTGGTGGCAGGTGGAGCAAAAGCTGACCAGTGACTGCTGTGGCCAGGAGATGCCCCTGCCTTGGTCTGAGCTCTTCGTGACAGCCCATCAGTAGTACTTTCTTTCTCTCTTGGATGAGTCCCCAAACAAGCCCTTCACAACAACGGTGGCAAGACCAGCAAGAATGATACCTCCTACAGCTGCTGTAGCACCAATTACAGCTTTTGTGACCTATAAAGGGAAAGTAAAACTCAGGCTGGAAACATGAGGAGCACTTATGTTTACTCCCCCCCCAGCATGATAATATAGATAAGGCAGGGATACTCAGGGTAAATAAATCAGTGAAGGCATGTGCCCCATTATCAGAAGGGGTGACAGGCAGGTTTGTGCCCCCAGGAGGTGGCACTCAGTCAGAGGGCACTGTCAGGGTGCAGGCAGAGCACAGTGACCCTCCAGGGGCAGGGGCTCTGGGGAGGCAGCGCTGCTTTGGAGCCCACGCCTGGCGCTGGGCTGTCCCCATGCAGGCTGCAGGCTGTGTCCCAGTGCCCAGCTCACAGCCAGCAGCCAGGAGGGGCTCTGGGAGGCACCAGGGGCTCACCCCGGGACACTGACCTGCTCAGAGACTCCCTCTCCGTAGCGGAGCTCTGTCACAAAGTGCTCACAGTTTCTGTTAAGTACATCGTATGTCACCTCCCTGTCAATCCATTCTTCAGCACGCCGGATGATCTCCTCCACAGGGCGAGGAGTGCGGGAGCGGTCATACTTGTTGTTGACACGCCATTTATTATTTCCCACCACCTCCTTCAGGAGCTGCTTCTTCACCTTGGCCTTTTTGGTGAATATTGATGTGGTGCTCACTGACAGAGATGGGGATCCTTCATCTGGGGAAGTCAGGGAAGAGATAAGACAGGCAGGCAGACCCTCTCTGGCCTCTGCATGACCTCTGATGGTTTCCTCTGCTCCTGGAAAGGACATCTACAGACACAGGGTCTACCAGCAGCAGGACATGGAGGGAGATAGGGCTCTTGGTGCATCCCAACACCCACTCTGTACATTGTCAGGCGGCACCAGCCTTACCTACAGGTGTGACGTTGATCACATATCCATCACCCACGTAGAGCGCCCAGTGCTGGTATCCTGGCCGGTCGACCTCGATCAGGTCCCCGGGCTGGGGGTCGCGCCTGCCTTCTGCCATGTCCGGACGCTGCGGTCAGGCCGTGCAGCCGCAGCCGGGCTGGCTCAGCGCAGGGCAGAGCGCAGCGGGGAGGCGAGGGCTGTGCAGGGGCAGCTGCCGGGAGCGCAGGCCGGGGCCGGGCCGGGCCCGCTCCGCTGCCGGGACGCGGCTGCCCGGGGCTGCCCGCGGTGCCCAGCCCTGCCCGGCCTCTGGGGCACCTCCGGCCCGCCCGGATGGAGGGGCCGCGTCCTGCTGGAATCGCCCGCTCGCATCCCCGAGCTCCGCTCACCTCAGCGCCTGTCCCGCTGCTGCCGGGGCAGGGATCCCGGCCCGGTGCTCTCGCTGTAAATAGGATGAAGATGGCGCTTGCGTCGATCCTGTCGGGCTCACGGGCGACGCTGACCGACAGCTGCCTCGTCCGTCTCCTCTTCCATCTCGTCCCGTCCCACCGCCCCCGCCTTCTCCCTCCCACCGCTCCTCCCATCCGGGCGCTCCGCTCCCGTGATTGTTGCGAAAACGGCTGGTTTAGTGGAAAATCCGATCCTGCCCCCGAGAAGGATGTGCCATTGCCACTTTCCCGGAGCCTTCCGCAGCTCCTCGAGCCCCTCCAGCCGCGGAGTGGCTCCGGTCCCGCTCGGCCGAGCGGTGAGCGGGCATCCCTCAGCAGGAAACCTTTCGAGACAAAAGTGGGGTGCTTCCGTTCTACTTCTTCACCGTGATGAGAAACAAAGGAGGTGGAGCTCTGAGTGAAATAATTTTAGGGCAAAGGGATTTTTAGGTTGTGTTTTTATAACGTGGCCTGTGCCTTTCCTTTGGGACTGCAGAGGAATTCCATGATTGTGCCGCGCCAGGGTCCTGATCCAAGAGACAGGCACAGCTGAGCCCGTACAGCCGTCTCCTTTACTGTTGCTGGCACAATGTGCTACAACTAATGAGAAAAGTGTCCTCTGGGTAAGTTGAACTAAGCAGTATTTAAAGCCTTGCATTTCAGAAGTCAGGCAAGCAAGTTGGTTGATATAAAAGATGGGAGCAGTGGAAGACTTGCCATCTTTCTCTCTTCCAGTGGCATTAATTGTTATTTCAAAGAAGCATTTAACGACAGTTCTGCTTTCTGTATCATCCCCTTCTTTAAATCTGGACTATTTGCAAAGATTTGCAGTGGAAATTTAATCACCAAGGCAATTCTTGTGGTATGGAAAAAAACCCCAAACATATACATGGAAACCCAGATATCTGCTTTACCTGGACACAGCAGGGTCCTGTTCCTTGGGGGAGCCTGGGCTGGGATCCTGCAGGGGAGGGACTGGCCTGTGCTCCCACCCAGTG